ATTATCGATACATTATCATCATCGATACACTATCATCATCGATAAACTATCATCATCGATACACTATCAGCATCGATACACTATCATCATGGATACACTATCATCATCGATACACTATCATCATGGATACACTATCATCATCGATACATTATCATCATCGATACACTATAAGCTTTGATACCCTATCATCATCGATACACTATCATTATCGATACACTATCATCATCGATACACTATCATCATGGATACCCTATCATCATCGATACACTATCATCATCGATGCACTATCATCATCGATACCCTATCATCATCGATACATTATCATCATCGATACACTATCATCATCGATACACTATCATCATGGATACACTATCATCATCGATACACTATCATCATCGATACACTATAAGCTTTGATACCCTATCATCATCGATACACTATCATTATCGATACACTATTATCATCGATACACTATCATCATCGATACACTATCATCATGGATACCCTATCATCATCGATACACTATCATCATTGATACACTATCATCATCGATACACTATCATCATCGATACACTATCATCATCGATACACTATCATCATCGATACACTATAAGCTTTGATACCCTATCATCATCGATACACTATCATTATCGATACACTATCATCATCGATACACTATCATCATCGATACACTATCATCATCGATACACTATCATCATCGATACACTATCAACACATTCTTCGTGCATCCATCATGTCTTTAAACTTCCATTCCAACTTATTTGCTGGTGAGACAAACATTTATTGTGGGAATAAAAATACTGATTGTTCACAAAATGTGTATTCAATGAAACTTAAACCTCTGCTCTCCCCTCCCCATCACCCCACCACCCTCTTCCCCCACACAATTCTCCACACTACATACACCACGATTAGTTAGCGGACAGCTCAGTTCAGTCGATAGATGTCTTGTTTTCAAGTCAGTAACTTTTAGACTTAACGGCGTGTGTGTGTGTGTGTGTGTGTGTGTGTGTGTGTGTGTGTGTGTGTGTGTGTGTGTGTGTGATCAAGAAACGATGGCGGTTGTAGGAGGGTGTGGGGATGCACGTTGGAGGGTGTGAGGGGGGGGGCGGTGGGGGTGGATCATTATGAGGGGGTGCACTGTTGAGAAATATGACAGTATACACGTTGTGTTTTTCTTCGAAAAAGCAACGATCATGTAATGTTTTAATAGAATTCGAGTATTTTAAATTGGAACATGTTCGAGGCGTGGGCGTGGGGTGGGGGTGGAATAGAGCTCTTACTTTGTTGGAAATCTCAAGAAGATTCTGGAAAATTTTTTGACAGTTGTGTTTTTATCGTTGTTTTTTTTTTCTAAGTTGATTGTGATGTCCGATTCAACACGGAAATAAAGTTTCTTCTAAAACATCAGTCATGATGTATCTCTTGCATTCGACTTTCTGTCGTTTTAGTACACCGTTTCTTATCTCGTTCTAAAGCTGTTTCCGTGAATTGTCTTTTCGTTGAAAGATAGCGACAAATGTTTTAAATAATCAGGCTAAAATCTAAAATATTCTCGTATTGTCCTTTGATTGAAGGGTCAGTCTAGATTAAAAACACGAGGACGTGCTGAATCAAATAATTGATGCACTGATTTTAAAGGATATAGTTGGGTTTAATGAAGGAACGGTTAGTTTGGTGTAGCGTTTGGATAGGTTTAGTGGCTTCTTCTTCTTCGTTCTTAATTTTTAGTGTTGGGAGGGATCGAGCCTTATCTACCAGAGGGTTTGAACTCGAGACTTTTTTAGAATTTATTAACCATGCGCTTTGCCGACTCGACCATGCTTCCATCACAATTAAGGATTACGTGTCAACTGGTTATGCGCCATTGAGGCCATTGACTCCGATTTCAGCCTGCTTTTCATTTTGGATTTGCTTCCATAGCCTTTGTCCAACCAAGAACAAACTACAAGGCAGCAGTTGTTTGATTTTGGAGTTGTCTCTCCTAGAGGAGTGGCTGTCCCCAGCTAACGAGCCTCATCTGCCCGAGGGTTCGAACTCGAGACTTTTCGGTTTAGTGGCTGATAACTGGAGAAGTAATACCACTGATGTTCTGGCACACCATCATACACACCATCATACACACCATCATACACACCATCATACACACCATCATACACACCACCCAATAAACCACCAGATAATTTGTATAAATCATACATCATCATACACATAACCAATTATTAATGTTGTGTTAACACTCACGGCAATGAGAATGCATGTTGGTGGAGTAAGTTGGGGTTAGTGTTAGGTCAAGTTTATGGTCATCTTGTAGGTGAGCTGTTCGTTTAGATCTAGTTTAGAGCTAGCGTTAAGGGTAAACACAGTCCTAAGTTAGGGCTTGTAGACGCTGATGTAATGTTAATTGCATGAGTACAGAGTTTCTTCCAGGCATCTCCTCGGGGTGGGGGGACGGGACTAAACCCCCCCCCCCCCCCTCCCCAAGAAGGTCTACCGCACCCCCCCCCCCCACTCCGAACGAAATGGAATGTATATAGAAAACATACTTTTACTAGTGTCCGCCCCCCTCCCCGGGACATGTCCGCCCTCCCCCCCCCCCCCCAAAAAAAAAAAAATTATCTAGTGCCTCCCCCCCCCTACTCGCTGCGTGAGTAGAGGTAAGAGCTAGATTTAGATTAAGGTTAGTTAATAGTCTCTGTAACTAAGTGATACTATAATTGACATAGCTAATGACAGCTACACATTAACACTGCTAATTACTCCAAAAAAACACAAACCTACTTGAGACTGGCCTAGATTGCACGATACTATTGCATACTATATCCCAATGGTTTTATTTAACTACACGCCGCTCAGCTCAGAAAGACAATGTAAACTAGTAAACTGCTAGCATCACTATGTATTTGCTACAAACAAGATAAGAGTAGAAACTCTACTTACGGTAAACTTATCCGTCTAGTGTTGACCTACTTAAGAAAATGACACATTGGCAGAATGAAATTGTCACAAAGTTCACTTCAAAACCTTATTAATAGTTGCAATAACAATAGTTGCAGTACAAAAGTTGCAGAGACAATAGTTGCAGTACAAAAGTTACGTAAAATGTGCAGCGAGTAATCCAAACCCTAGCCTACAAATAAGCAGCGATCAACTAACTTCTTCCTACTTCCACTACTAGAGAAGTGCTTCCCCGATGACGCGCCATTGCTATTTTTAGATGCATGGAGAAGCCTTTGGGAAAACCTGACCTATTTTTACGCGGAGGTAAAACATTTACAATAGATATTAATTTTTGACAATTTTCACTGCATAATCTGATGTAAAATATTGCGTATTTGTGTGGGAATCCAAGATAAAAGTTTAAGATGATCCCAGTGTTCAATTATTCGTGTATGTTTGTTACACGTAAACAACAAGATACACAGCAATATTTGGGGAACTTTGAGTTTCGATGACGTTTGAACCGAAACTGTCACTAACCTGCCTTAAAGGCTTTTTAATGCTTGAATATGGTCACATAGATGACACTACATAACATGAGATTTGTGTAAGGTATTGTCACATAAACGAGGGGATCACTGTTTCTTTCAAGCACCTCTTCCGGGGAAAAATAAATACTAGTCGCTTAATTAATTAACTGATTATTTAAAATAAATAAGGAATCTGTTCATGCAATATGGTGTAAATGTTCATGCATGCAGAATGTAGCTAAAGCAGTTGTTGAGTATTTGGTGGAAAGTGAACAAAAAATGTGTGGTAAACTAATTCGGCTCGTTAAGGTCAAGTTAATTAAGTTAATTAAATGCTGGCTTATTAAGTGTGTGGCTAATTACGAGCGTGGCGAGGTCACGCCCTAATTGAATGTGTAAGTGCATGGGGATTTTGTTGAATGGTGAGTAGGGGGTCGATGTAGAGTAGGGGTCAGTTCGGGGTCGGTGTAGAGAAGGGGTCAGTTAGGGTCGAAGTACAGAAGGGGTCAGTTGGGGTCGGTGTAGAGAAGGGGTCAGTTGGGGTCGGTGTAGAGAAGGGGTCAGTTGGGGTCGGTGTAGAGTAGGGGTCAGTTGGGGTCGGTGTAGAGAAGGGGTCAGTTAGGGTCGAAGTACAGAAGGGGTCAGTTGGGGTCGGTGTAGAGAAGGGGTCAGTTGGGGTCGGTGTAGAGAAGGGGTCAGTTGGGGTCGGTGTAGAGAAGGGGTCAGTTGGGGTCGGTGTAGAGTAGGGGTCAGTTGGGGTCGGTGTAGAGAAGGGGTCAGTTGGGGTCGGTGTAGAGAAGGGGTCAGTTGGGGTCGGTGTAGAGAAGGGGTCAGTTGGGGTCGGTGTAGAGAAGGGGTCAGTTGGGGTCGGTGTAGAGAAGGGGTCAGTTGGGGTCGGTGTAGAGTAGGGGTCAGTTGGGGTCGGTGTAGAGAAGGGGTCAGTTAGGGTCGAAGTACAGAAGGAGTCAATTGGGGTCGGTGTAGAGAAGGGGTCAGTTCGGGTTGGTGTACAAAAGTGATCACTTGGGGTCGATGTAGAGTATGGGTCATTTCGGGGTCAGCGTAGAGTAAGGGTCAGTTCGGGTTGGTGTAGAGCCAGAGTAGAATGAGAGCTTGAAGGAAAGAGCATGGGTCAGAAGCAGGCGGGTGTGGAAAGGTTGGGGTGGCAGGGGTCTAGGGGTTGGAGCAGTGGTCAGTGTATGTAGGGGTCTAGGGATCGGGGCATGGGTCAGTGTATAAAAGGGTCTAGGAATAGGCATTATGTTACTTGTGTATATATTGTGATAAAATTTATGTAAGAAACTTTTCAGAAAGGTGGGGTGGGGTGTGGGGTGGGAGGTCACGTTTAATTGTAGATACATAGTAAACAAATTATTATTTTAAAAAGTAACTCTAGAATTAAATGGAAACGGACCTATTTTAAAAGTGTTTTTGCCACCTATTCCTGTACGTTGCACATACCAACAACAGCAAGTCCCAAGATCCAGCCGTGATTAATATTTTTGCGAGACTCCGCCGGGACCAAAGTTTCGGTTTCACTGAGGTCTCCGTCCAAGATGGCCGCCACGTCTGCAAACCATGCAGCTAGCATTGTTTAGCTAGGTCCGGTGTCCGTTTGGTGCATAAACTCGGACATTCGACCCCCACACGTGATCACACCCGGATATTCGACCCCCACACGGACATTACTCGGACACGCAGGTGAGTCACACACCTTTATAAACGGACAATTTAATTCCGGGTGAGACGCCTGTGGAAAATAGATTTACTTTAGCAACAATGGCGGACAACGTTCTGCCCAATTTGCGAAGGTGTAGCAATTTTTTTTTTTTAAATGTCGGTATATAAATATATTACTTTTATCGTCAATTTATTATTCATTTATTTAATTTCAGTAAGTTAGTATGAATTTAAAAATACTCGGTAAAGTTAAAAATATGTATGTGTATCATTAGAAAATAAGAACATAAATGAGAATGTTACATAAAGTAGTTCTAATTTTAGAATTTTTATCTCTAAATTTAATAGATCATTCTTTTTGTCTGATTGAAATTCAATTAAATTTCATTAATTTAAAAAAAAATTATAAATATTTTTAAAACATTGATATTTTGTTTTCAAATGTCAAAACATCTAATTTAAACCTTAATTTGTGCATTATTGAAAAATCGTTTCATTTGATGGTTTTATTTATATTGTGAATAACTTAGATCTTTCAAAATAAGTTTAATTTCTTTATTTAAAAACATCAATTAGTGTATACTTAGAACAATTATAATTTTTTAAACTTTGAATTCAAATAATTCTTATTTCCATAGGTAATACTTTAATATTTTTAAATTATGAGCTTGGATTAGCTGACTAAATTTTAAAGTTTTAAATATGCATTTCAGCTGGAATGTTTTAGAGAAAAAAGTAAAAGTTACGCAACAACGTGGTTTTTGTAGATCTCATGCATGAGTATGCTAGTCGTGTACCTGGTCATAATAACTATATCATAAACTGGAACTATTTTACCTTAGCTAAAAACTGATGATAAAAATAAATCATTATGAGTTAAATCGAGAATAGTTTAAATAGGTTAAAAATTGTCATCATCACAGACTCGGCTATTTAACTTCTGGTAACAAGGAAAAAATTGTTTCATTACATGGTCATTACACGGTCGTTACATGGTTATTACACGGTCATTATACGGTCATTACACGGTCTTTACACTAAACTATGACCTCCCCAAATATGGACCTATAATATTAGTCAAATAACTTATTTATTTTTAATTTTAAACATATTTTAAATTTCTTGTCTTGGTATTTTCATGAAGGACAGTGATTTGTAGTAGGCAGGCATTTACTTCGTACTTGGTCTATTCCATTGTCAAGTACTTGAGTGTTTTATTTTCACGATTGATTTTTAGAGAATTGTCAGAATCCAGTGTTAAATAGATCCATCTGCAGGCGACCCTTTCATAATGGTGGTGTATTTCTGAGTGTTCAAATAGATCATGGTTTAGTTGGTAGCTAGCTCAACAGTACCCGCACTCGTAGATTGCGATTTCCGTGTGTAGTTTCGTATAATGTCCGGCTAGTTGGTTAGTTTCGGAGTTAGTTTCGCACACTGTGCAGGATGTTTCTGCTCAGTGTTCTGATATGTGTGTGTTTTCTTCGTTCTTTGAAGTTGTTCAACGGATGTAGGCAGTATCCCCACACTACCCTCCGTTGAGGTGACTTTTGTAGTTTTTATCTTCGTCTCCTGTTATATTTGAGCTGATGTCTTGTTAAGAGGCGTAGCGAGGGGGGGGGGGGGGGGGGCGGGGGACATATGTCCCCGGGCGCCGACCTTAGGGGGGGGGGGGGCAAAATGGGTTGGAAAAACAAATTGAAAATTTGAGGGGGGGGGGGGTGCAAATCAAAAGTTCGAGAGGGGGGGTGCAAATCGGAAGTTTGAGGGGGGGGTGCAATTCAAGAGTTCGAGGGAGGGGTGCAAATCAAAAGTTCGAGGGGGGGTGGGGTGCAAATCGAAAGTTTGTCCCCGGGCGCCGGGAAGGGTCGTTTGGCCTCTGGTCTTGTTTCCTTTTCAATGGTGTTATGTCTGTATCCATGTTAACCCGTGGTTTTATAACTTGGGATTTGTGAATTTCTGAAGTGTTGGGAGTTGCATTTCTTGCTGGGGACAAATCGTTGGTTGTTGCTAGAGGTGTTGCTAAATCAGTGTTTATTTTACTACCTAGCCTTAGGGATTGCTATATGCTGTTTTTTTTATCGGGTTTGGTACTGTTGTCCTTTTTTAATTGATATCATTTTGCTGGTGTGGGATTCTATTGGTCGCGTGTTGCTGGTGTAGGGTTGTGTTGGTAGTTTGTTGCTTCTGATGTGGAATTCTATTGGTCATGTGTTACTGGTGTACCTTGTTGCATTGTTTACTGTAACGTCGAGTGTTTGTGCTGTCGGTAATTCATTAAGCTACTTGGCTTTTCCCATACTAAGGTAGCCTGTGTCTCTGTATGTATGTATTTATGAATGTATGTGGCTGGCTACATCATATACATAGGAATATAACATTTTTTTTTAAAAGTTCAAAACGCTTATTACAATATTAGAACTCAACATAACTACCGTTTCCACGCTAAATTTCTGATGCATTTATTTAACTTTTGAACAGCTATAAGAACATTAAAGCTAGCGATTTTTTTCACCTAAGCTCTGGGAGAGTCATTTCTAACATCACAAAATTATTCAATATTTTTCTGCCACTGCTAACACTGGAATTATTGATCAAATATCAGGATCAATGTGTTTTATAACACTAGAAACAAAAAGGTTTGCATGGCAAAATAAGTTCCCTGGGCTTTTAATAAAATAAAATATTTTCACTACAGTGAGGAAAAAAAATCACTTGATAACTTTAATTTAATGTACTTTATAAATTAATGTGGCTTGATGTTATACAATGGAGGTGCTGAATGTAGTTAAATGACACCACTTTTGTACAGATATCCATATGTAGCGATGAAGGCTAGTGCAGACGAAAGTAAATACAGGTTGATCTTGGCATTCTTTGCTTTATAAGCTTGAGACCATGAGCCTTCAGGGACTGGTAAAAAGTTCATGTGATTCTTGTTCTCTTCACATATCTGACGCATGGTTTTCCAGTGTTCAGGGACTCCATGGCTCATACGATGGATGCTAGGTGCGACCCTAAGCAGTGGTGTTATTTTTGTCAACATTCTAGATTATAATTTCTTTTCCTAAGGAACGTGAGTGTCATATTTACTCACCTCTAATACATAGGAATTTTTTTTTTTTAGGAATATATTTGCCTTGCTATTTTGATAGAGTATTCCCGTACCATATATTAAAATCTTCCCAGAGCTCTAGTGCATGTGTGTTTGATGCTCTCTGTGTGAATTCTGATGCTAGCTTCCTTATATCTGTGATGTATTCGCTATTTTCTAGAAGAGTGTTGTTGAGTTTCCAATATGTATTCTTTGTTCTGTGAGTGGGGTTAATTTGTAGTTGAGCAATAACTATTTTGTGGTCTGTAAATGTAAGTGTCTTTAGGAATATAACTAATTAAAATATCTGTGCCAAAACACAATAATCATAATGCTGTTTAATCCTATATTTTCATAATTGGGAGTATCACTGAAATATTTTAGCTAAAGGTTTGTATTTTAAATATTAATAAATAAAAGTTTTTTTTCTAAATAACAATTACAAAAATAATCATATAAAAATTTACAAAACTTTAATTTACAATATTTTTATTGACTTATATTTTGTTTAATTCTAGCAAAGATATATAGATTTTAAAGTAAAAGTTTAATTTTTAAAACAATTTTATTTTTTAGGTTGTATCCCTTAGTCTTTTAAAATTTTGCTTAATATTGTGAAACAATTATCTTCTTGTAACATGATATTGTGTAATCGTAGCCTCTGTAATAATTGTAAAATACGTAACTAAGTTAAAATTGTATGGTTAAAATTGTATGTATATATGTATGTATGTATATATATATATATATATATATATATATATATATATATATATATATATATATATATATCTCAGTGTGTCATTTCTAACAACATAAGGGTGGGGGGGGGGGGTTAGGAGGCGGGGTTAAATGTTTAAAATAAAAAAAGGATTTACTGTATAATATTACAACACGATGTCCACTGTCAGTCGGAAATCGCTGAAAAGTTGATACCTAACTACAACTTTGATGTTATATTTTTATATAAAATTTCACCAACCTAGATGTCACGGTACTCAAGTTATCGTGTTCACAGACAAACACATACGCACACAAGTATAGGAAAAAATTAAAAACTAATTTTTTTTCCGACTCAGGAGGTGTGAAACGCCAAGATTTGTGATTATCCCGATTTCAATTTTTTTGCACGATTACAATACTTCCTCTATACTCCGACCATTTAAATTTTGCCATATCAGTTGTGTGGCATGTGGATTTCCTGATGGCAATACAACAGTTCCGTGTTTATCAGTGCCAAAAGTAAAAACCGTTCATACATGAGATAACGTATTCTTACCGGGATTTCGACAACACCAATACGTGAAGTCCCACTTGTAAACGCACCAAACAGTTATTGTGTGCCTTCACTTTCATATCAAAAGCAAAAAAAACTAATCGCTATCAATTTTTAAAATATATTCTGGGAAAACTACACACAATTTTGTGATCACTCTTCTCCTTCTCTTCAATCATAATTATCGGATTATCACGAAAGCAGGTACATTGTCTCACTCCCCCCCCCCCCCCACACACACAGCAGGTACATTGTCTTCCTCTCCTCCCCCCCCCCCACACACACACGCACGACTTGAGCGTGACATCATTTACCAGGGACTTCAAATACCCCATTCTATCGTTAACAATTTACACGCATCGTTAATAATGTACACTCATCGTTAATAATGTACACTCATCGTTAATAATGTACACTCATCGTTAACAATCTACACGCATCGTTAATAATGTACACTCGTCGTTAATAATGTACACTCATCGTTAATAATGTACACTCATCGTTAATAATGTACACTACATCGTTAATAATATACACTCATCGTTAATAATGTACACTCATCGTTAATAATGTACATTCATCGTTAACAATCTACACGCATCGTTAATAATGTACACTCATCGTTAATAATGTACACTCATCGTTAATAAT